CAACACTAGATTCAAATTACTTTAAAAGTTTGCTCATCCCATGAAATGACAGTGATATAAAAAAAAATCTGTACACATCCCAGACTTGATTGTATTTGATTTACACACAAGCACACACACACACAATCAGGCTACCTCCCATTTGCTGAGGGAGAAGGACCACTTTTTCTGAGTTTTCATTCACTGAGTGCGAGAGCAAAGTCTCTTAAGCAAAATTTCGCCTGGCTTCGTGCATGTTTTTTTAAATTGGATTTCTGCCTTGTGTCCATAGAAATATTCTCCTATTAGAAGAGAGGAAGTGGAGACATAGAGATTCTGCTGAGATATTGGTGTCATCATATTTGAGTTGGAAAGGACTTAAGACAGCATAGATTCGTAACTTCTTATGGGTGAGAATCCATGATAGTGTAACTTGAACAAGAACCAGGGTCTTCTGTCTTCGTGTCCACGTGGATGAAGAGGCAACTGGGTGGGGGGCGGCAGGGATCCTTCTTGCTTGTGATCCAGGGTCTTGCGTGTTTTCATTGCTCAACTGCCTTTAGCTTATTTCCATGTGACCTCTCATGGGAAGGTCACTCTGTCCTGATAGATTGAGTTTCTAATCAGCAAAAAGGTCTGGACCTACTCATGGGTCCCAGTGTTTTTCTGCTGACCTGTTGACACTTTATAAAAATGAGACGTAAGAAACTACTGGATATAAAATCCTTATTGTTTTAGTTTTCCCTCAAGTTCCATAGGAATGGGGTGCTGTCTCAGGCTGTCTAAGGCTAGATCTGAACAAAGATAGGGTGATAGGCTTTGCTGCTGGACCGTCCAGAGTCGAATGGGATTTCCACCTTAGGTTTTAGAATCAAGCAGATTAGTTCAAATCATGCCTTTACCAGTTATTAGCTTTGTGACCTTGGGGAAGAAACTTTACTATTTTGGGGTCCATTTTTCTTTTTCTGTAAATAAGTTCAGTATTTATTTTAGGGTTTTTGTTTTAGAATTAAATGAAATAATTCCTTCATTTATTCCTAAAGTACTGAACCCATGGTTCTATGCTGGTGGCTTAGTAGTTGATTACTAAGGGACTCAGCAGTAAGAATGGGGGTGGGGGCCCCTGGATCATAGAGCTTATATTCCAGGATATGCCTGTAAAAGACTGGATGTGCAGTGGATTTTTAGTAAATGTCCACTTCTTTCCTAATTCCCATTGATTGTGTATTTATCTTTATACTAATATATGAAGAATTTTTTATTGCAATTTAAATCTCTTTGTAGTATTTAAAGTATGTAGCTATAACAAAAATACATGAAATAAAATGATTTGAGTTTTATTTTCCTTTCAATAAGCAAAACAAAATAAAATACAAAAGAAAAGAAAAAGTTTTGAAGGAGTGGAAATAATTTTATTTCTGTGAAATCAACACCCTTTGTTAGGTTTTTCGGTTGTGTTGTTAAACAGCATATAAAATTGACAGGTTGTGACTTCAGTTTGGTTTTTTTTTAACATTTTTTGTTGATTTATAATCATTTTACAATGTTGTGTCAAATTCCAGTGTTCAGCACAATTTTTCAGTCATTCATGGGCATATACACACTCATTGTCACAATTTTTTCTCTGAGATTTATCATAACATTTTGTGTATATTTCCCTGTGCTATACAGTGTAATCTTGTTTATCTATTCTACAATTTTGAAATCCCAGTGACTTCAGTTTTGATAGCTAGGTGAGTATAGATTCTTTTTGTGGTTGTCTTTGA